CCCACCTGTCACCCCTCTGATGCAATGGAATCGCCCCACCTGACCCCCCCTTAATACAATGGACTCGCCCCACCTATCACCCCTCTAATGCAATGGACCTGCCCCACCTTTCACCCCTCTTATGGAATGGAATAGCCTGAGATCGCTCGGATTGTGTGGATTTTCTCCACTAAAACCCTCCAATTGAATGGACTCCCCAACTTGTCTATCAGATGACCGTGGGGTAATTGCTTCAATCAAGTCGTTACTTCCAAACATTTTCACTACTCCTGTTTTAGCTGACCTCGTAAGCAATGTATTAGAATGAATTATTTAAAATGATGTTAAAACAATCCATTAATTCATCACAAACGCCAATCAAATATCAGGATTACTTGAAAATACCGTTTTAATAATTTTGATAAATCTTATTACATATTAAGTGTATTTTCAAAGGATTTTTAAAGCTTTTCATCATGTCTTTAATTTCGGATAGGTACCGACAGCCTGAGGGTACTAAAATCCTCATCGCTTTAAAGTCGCCAACTAACCCCAACCACAATTTGTAATCAGCCACTAGTTGTAGTTAAGACAGCGTATGACGCAGGCTTGATGTCCAACGTTATACCGACAGCGTATGGCGCGAATACTGCTTGATATATTGGTAAATATAACCGACACATATCCATTTATCTTTATAACGTTGTTAGAATGTTTTATACTAGATGGGATAACCTGATATTTATTGACGAAAAGGGTTTATTCTTAAAATTGAACAAGCATTGTAGAAAAAAAATTGGTAGTTATTAGTATTATCCAATTAATTTTATACGTAGTTGCGATATCATAAAAGAATATATGAACCAAATTTTGAGCTTTCCCTATACTGATAGTTTGCCTATTTGCCGCCAGGTTTGCTCAACGACAAAGTGAATGATAAGCTATTGTGAAATAAAATGGGATTGATGTTTTCAAAAAAATAATATTAGTTAACATTATAATGGGTTGTTCCATATCTTTAAAACCTTAATATATAGATAATGACCTTCGATTAAACACAAAGTTCGCAACAAATAAGACAGGCTCCTCTTTAATATGAAACCGAGGCTTCCGTCATGGCCGTGTCGAGTTGGTAAATAATCACACAAAAATATCTGTTTAGTATGGACGAAGAAGAAAGAAAAAGAAAATTGCAAGCGGGAAAAGAGAAGGTTTGTATTTTGGTTACAATGCAAACAAGTAGCATGGATATATGCACAGTCTTCATGGCCCTTGACTGCGTCGGTTCTTGGTGAAAATCCGGCGTCGCATTCCAAGCGCGCCAACTCGACTCGCTATCGTCACAAGAGGCGATCGAGAACGATATCCTTTAGAAAATTGCTAAAAAACTCAACAGTGTTGAAGATATGATGTTTCTTAATGAGAAATTCGGACTCAACGGGTGATCTTCGAACTCGAGTTTTACGCCATTAAAATCACATGAGCCGAGGCGGAATTTGAATAAATAGGATTTATTATCAGAATTGATTGATAATAAATCGTAGATAATGAATCGGAATAATGACCACTACACGAGATAAGTGAATGTTGAAGAGATTAGAACGTTGGACAGGTTGAAGGTTTACAAAGAAAAGGAAACCTGTGTACCTTTGTATGTTTTATTATTGTTCTACTTCATTCTTCCTTCTTCTAATAAAACTTCTAATCCACATTTTTAATTCATTATTCAAGTTGCGTGTGGTTTCAGTTATAAACTACTGTTTTTTTTTACAGCTTGCAGCTTTTCAAAAGAGAAAAGCAAAAAAGAAAAAGAAGAGAAAAGATGTTGCAGAAGCAGATGGAGAAAGCGAATCTTCCACTGATCCTTGTGATCTCTCACTGTCAAGTGACCAGCATTCCTTTTCCTATGAAGATGTAGGTATTCAAGATCTTGGACAGTAATGTGTGGTTTTTTTATATGTTAGGCCCCATTCTCACAAACACTTTCAGTTTACATGGATTGACCTACCTCCACAGGGACTCTTGGTAAATGCAATCAGTTTAACAGATTCTCATACCTTCTCTGAAGTAAAACACAGAAAAGCTGGAGATTATTCTAGTATGTTGGAAACGAGGGGAAACAAGAGGAAGTATGTCATGCAATTAAGCTGATTGTGCTCAGTGAGAGTTTCCATAGAGTAGGGTCAATTCACGTAGTAGGCTAATGGTGTCTGTAGGAATGGGATCGTCTAAAACTTACTCCAGGCATTGGTTGGTTGAAATGTCAAAATAAGTTGGAGGTGGGTGGGTGGAGTATGTTATCCCTCAGGAAAATCTCACATGTGAAATGTTTTAAGGCTTACTCCAGACTTATTTAAAATGTTTTGTCTATCTGAGTTAAATTTGGGAGGCGGGAGGGTATGTAATCCCTCAGTAAATCAACCACTGACCCTATATTTCATTCTCCCCCTCAGGGGTAACATAGTGCTTATAAATGCTACCCAGAACATACGAGTAGGTTTTTACTTTCCTATTGCAACACAATCATTGTGATAAATGTCACATAGCAATTGCCATTTGATGATCCAGAATTGCATATTGAAATATTTATATTGGTATTGTTTCCATTGATACTTGAGTGGTATGAATTATTTATCAATATTGGGTGTTGTTCACTGATGTTTGAATAACCCAATCAAATGCCTGATAATATGAATGCAAGTCTTATTATAAAAGAATACAAATTACAGTGCATTCTCTTGTTTGCTTTATTTTACAGAGCGACCAAAGATCTATGACTAGTGGAGATGAACTTTCTGCAGCTGTAAGTGACAAGCCATTTTGTTTTCATTAGTGTTCTTCTTTCGTAAGACAGTGGCAGCTAATTAGAAAGATAGGTATATTCTTATTTCAGTCAATTTTCATTATATCTTCTAGTCCCAAAGCAAACCCTTATACACATCATTTTAAGGCTCATACCCCATGAAACTAACATTCTAGCTAAATTGATACAACTCTGAGGGGACTCTTGCTGAATGCAATCAGATAAACTGATTAATACGTCTCCTGTTGGTGTTCATTGGAATACAGAAAAGTTGCTGATTATTCGAGTACTTTGGAAACGAGGCATGCTAACCTGTTAAACTGATTACATTCAGCAGAAGGCCCTGTTGAGTTGGATCTTCCTAGACTGATGTTGTCTATGGGAATAGAATACAATAGATTCAATGGGAATGAGACCTTAGAATCAGCTATTGAGATGTTGAGTAGAATAAGAAATTGCTTTAGACTGGGTTCCTATGCCTAGATCGTTCCATCTGGATTGGTCTGACTCCCTGGGGAGTCTCACTAAATTGCTATCAACTGAGCAGCTAGGTGGTAAAGATAATTAACGGTTTTGCTAGGCTTTACAGACGTTTAAGCTGGTTAAGTAGATAGCAATTTAGTGAGACTCCCCAGGGAGATAGATCGATCCAAATATCTGTGGGAATGGTCCCTTACTCTTGATGGAAAATTACATTTGTTGCAAAAATACTTTTTAGAAT